GATGGATAGAGCCAAGTTGCAGCTTTTTTTTTTTTTTTAAACCCAACACATAAAATAATGTTCTCTGTTCTCCCCATGAAATGCTGAGCTAACTACAGCATTATTGGCCTGCTGCTCCTCCGGCCATTCATCATTCACTCATTTAACAAATAAAATCGGTTGGAGACACTGAGAATACAAACATGTCAGGTAAAAATCATTGTCACCATAGAACACACATTGCAATGGAAAAGGGTAGACAATAAACCGATGAATGATGGGTTCCTTGGATAGTGGCATACAGCATGAGGAAAGCCAGAACCCGAGGCCGGAATGCAGGCCTGGCCTATGTAGCTGCTCTAATTTTAGACAGAGTGGCTGGGGGAGGCCCTAGGAGTAAGACTTGAGAAAGGGAGGCAATGAGCTGTGTGTCACTGGAAATGCACGTGTCTAGGAGAAGGTGGTGCAGGTAAAGTTGCCAGAGTCCAGGAAGAACAAGGAAGCTGGGGGGTGTGCTGCCAGGCCTGTGAGAGGCGAGCACGGCTGAGACGTAGAGGGGAGCAGACATGCAGGACTTTCTGTACAGCATCCATCAGGGCTTCAGGTTTTGTTTGAAGATGGATGGCCAGTCATCACTGGATTTCAAAAAGTGGTGCCATTATCTGAAGTCTTTGTAACTTGTTCACTCTGGCTGATGTGCTATAAATATCTTAAGTGGGGCAAGGGAGGAAGCACTGAGTCCGATCAGGAGGCTTCTGTGATCATCACACTGAGGGGCAGTTGTGCAGTGGGTAGAAGCACGTGGCACGTTTGTCTTCCATGTAGAAGTGGAAGGACTTGGGGTAACAGACTGAAAGTGAGGGGTAAGGAAGAAGACTTGCAGTTTCCGAACTGGGAGAATGGAGTTATCATTATTCTGATTTGGAGCCTGTGAGAAGAGGCAGTGTCAGCTGGGGCTGTCAGGGGCTCGGTTCTCAAAAGATAGGCTTGATAAGATCACTAAATCTAAGGTTCCCCAAGTTACTTATCACAAAACAGTTGGGTTTGCTCACAGGCTTGATATATGTCAGTTGTATTACTTGAGTTATATAAAATCATAGCAGTGAGCTATAAAGGCAAGAGTTTTCATAAAAGCTGAGTACTTTGAAAAGATCTAGTAAGGGTTGGTGCCACAGTGTAGTGAGTTAAGACTCTGCCTGAGGTGCCAGCATCCCATATAGGCGACAGCTTGAATCCTGGACGCTCCACTTCCAATCCAGCTCCTTGCTGAGTACCTGGGAAAGCAGCAGAAAGTGGCACAAGTCCTCGGGCCTCCGCATCCATGTGGGAGACCCAGAAGAAACTCCAGGCTCCTGGCTTCAGACAGGCCTGGCTTTGGCCATTTTGGCCATTTTGGAAGTGAACCAGTGATGGATGATTTCTCTCTCATTCTATTTTTCCTTTCTATAAAATTAGAAAGAAAGAACAGAAAGCAAGGAAGAAAAGATGGAAGAAAAAAGACTTGGTAGGCAACCTCTCACAAAAATTAACCATCAAGCTAGGCACAGAAAAGACAAATATAAAAGATTAGATTTGAATGTCTAAAACTTTAGTAAAATTCTACACTTACTACTCTTGAAATGTCTAAGTTCATTCTACTTAAAATGTTGGGGCTAAAAAATACATAAAACAACAATAACAACACCAAGTAGAAATTGGGGCTGAGTTATGTACAGTTGGTTATGCTGCCACCTGTGACACCAGCATCCCACACAGGTACTTTGAGTCCTGGCTGCTTCAGCTCCCTACTAATGGTCTGGGAAAGCAGATGACCCAAGTGCCGGGGTCCCTCTACCCATATTAGAGACTCAGAAGCTCCTGGCTCCTGCCTGGTCCACTCCTGGCCATTGCAGCCACCTGGAGTGCTGTGGCACATCAGGATAAACTGTCACTTGTGATCCATGCATCTCTTCTGGTTACTCCACTTCCATCCAGCTTTTTCCTAATGAGCTTGGGAAGAGAGCAGAAGATGGCCCCTGCTATCCACAAGGAAGATGGGGATGGGGTACCTGACCCACACTGACTGATACAGCCATTTGGAGAGTGAGCCAGCAAATAAAAATTCTAACTCAAGTCACTCTTTCAAATAAATAAGATCTTTAAAAAAGGAAAGGGAGGGAGCCTAGTGGTCCAGTGCTTAAGCTGCTGCTTGGGATTCCTGTATCCTGTATCAGAGTGCAGGTTCAAGTCCCAGCTACCTGCTAATGCATCTCACAAGGCAGATGATGGCTCAAGTGCTTGGGATCTTACCTCCCATATGGAACACCTGGATGAAGTTCTTAGCTCCTGGTTTTGACCTTGCACAGGCCTAGCTGTTTGGGGCATTTATGGAATGAACCAGCACATGGAAGCTCACTTCCTGTCTCCGTCACTCTGCCTTTCAAGTAGGTGAAAATAAACATTTATTATTTTTTTAAATAAGGAAAACTTGAAATCCAAGATGATGATTTAGGGCTGTGGTTTATGTAACAAAAGGTATTTTGGAATGTGAAACAGGTCTGTATACTCCAAATAAAGGCCTTGACACCATATGAAAACATTTGCCAAGGACTGCATTCCCACTCGTTTATAATGAAAATGCTGACATTATGTTTGCATGAATTATGGCTTCCTGCTGTGGTATCCAATCACTGAGAAGATCCTAGTGATTCCATCCCCCAAGTATTCAGGCCTTAAATAGTGTTCTCCCGGTCTTTATGACCATTGGAATATTCAAATGTTATCACTTCCAAGTCTACATCATCAACGATCACTACTGTATCTTGTCTTGCTATGTCTTGGATTACGTACACTAAGCACGGCCAGCCACCAGGTCTGAAGGACACCCACACAGTGCTTTTGAGAAGTCTAGTTGGTCCAGGAAGTCTAGGAAGGTCACTGTCAATGGCTCAAAAGGGACTGAATCTTTCTGACTAAAAGGTAAGTGTGCAGATGTTGGAAGATAATCCTGCAGGCTATATTAGTTCATTGTGTTTTGTGATAATAACTGATGCTGGGAAATGCATCGAGAAACAGGCTTATTCAGTTCATGACAGAGGGCCCAAACAGCATGGCGATGCTGTCCTGCCATGCATCCCAACATGTCAGAGAACCATGCAGGAGAAATACATGTGCAAGAGGAAGGAAGCAAGAGAAAGGAAGCAGGAGCTACAATGACCTGCTCCAATGAGACAACATCCATTCATTCATGAGATAGATCCCCCAAGACCTAATTGCCATCCATCAGGTCCCATCTTTTAACCGTACCACCCTAATCTGCCACACTGAGAGCAAGCTCTAGTATATGAGCCTTTTGGGACAAACCACATTCAAATTCTAGGGTAGCTTAATGAAGCCTCCAAGTGAGTGTGGAGAGCTCCTAATTCAGAACCAGCAAACTAAACCATTCACAGATTCTCAGCCCTTAGAAATCCTACTAAGTAATGTTTGCTGCTTCAAGATGCCACATTTTGGCATACTTTGTTATGCAGCAACAAAGAATATGTATCTGTGCTGACCTGCATTCTTGTTATCCATCTTCTACTACCTGAAGTATTTGGAACTTTTTAAGGTTTCAGGGACTCTTCCCCTTATAGAATATTATTAACTAAGAACTAATAAAGTTCTAGAAGTTGTATATTTCAGATGCTTTCAGATTTCAAAGTGCTGCTGTCTACTCAATACTATGGTGTTATTTCAGACATAAAAATTGAAGTTTCATAATTTCCCATATATAAATGTGCTTTGTGGAAAGCTTCTGTGACACACATACAAAACAGTTCAAAACAAACACTGAGTGCTAGCTGATGTGCCAGCTGCTTTGCTGTAGCTTTAAAGGAAAGAATAAAGAGTGTTACAGAAGGAAGGTTCACTGTTTCTCCTCTGTACTGAAATCCATCCCTTCCCTGCTCAGATGGTGAAGGTTGCTGCAGCGTTCTCACTGCTTAGATGTCGAAAAGGCCAAGGAAACAATCTTAGCAGACAAAAATGCTTATGCAGTATGATCAAAGGTGTCAGCAGTAGAGATCAAGGAGGGGAGAAGCAGCAGTGTAAGGTGTCAGGGAATACGTGGCAGAGGAAGAAACACTGCAGGAAAAACCCAAAACCAAGGTGGCATAAGAACAGAACAGAGTGGACTAAAAGAGGCTTATAAGCCCCACAAATATCAGACATGATTACGAAACAATCAGACATGAGATGCTTGTAGAGAAGCATTTTAAATACATGAGAACTTAGAAATAGATGTTTAAAGCGTGACATGCTAAGTTCAGATGCTGAGGTCAGAGGATGCATGAGAGAATAAAGTGCATGACCAATAATGACAAAGGCAACAGAGAACAACAATGAGATGAAGATCCTGATTAATTTCCCGCTCCACATCAACTCCTTTTTCCAGACCAGGGAAAGGTCCAACTCACATTTGCATCATTTGCTTGTTAAGTGATAAACTTCAGTCTATTTCCTTAATTTGACAACTAAAATATGGAATACCTATGAGTAGACATGAGTATTCAATTATTACACAACATATTTATTAAAAACTTCAAATTAACAATCCTGTTTTTCTTTCTAGGTGAATCCTTCCTTCCACCTGGTGACCATGGTAGTCTGGGAGCAACTCTCTCTCTTCTGGACTGAATGTCTCTGAACCCTTGCCAACAAGTGATGAAAGAGGGGGCTCAATTCATGTCTAGAAGGGGATGGAGGTGTGCATGTCAATATCAATTTATATCATGCTTGATAGCAATATACATTCAAACACTTTCCATTAATGAAAATAAAAATGCTTTGACTTTATTCACAACAAAATTACCTGTTTCATGGCACATACAGATAACAGATGCATTTACCAGAGATGGCAGTGTGTCAGCAGTTCTCCATGCCTAAATGTGTGACCTCACAGAGCCTGGAAGCTCTCAAAGGGCAGACTCTAGTGAGACAACTTTGACACTGAAAATGCATTACCGACAGTATGCAAATCACACACGCATCACCTAGATGCATCATTACTTTTTTTTATTTGGCAGATACAGTAATACATCCATGTTACAGTGCTTAGTAAGGCTGGAAAGCCAGTGCTATTTTGTTTTTCTTTTTGCTACTATAGTGTTTTACACAAATTAATGAGTACAGTCCTTACATTTTAGAAATAAGAATATCTACTGTTATCAGCCAAGTGAAGCTAAAATATGACTGCTGTAAAACTAAACAAGACAGTAACATAATTAACACAACAACTACAAGATAAGGATGTCCTTATTTCCACTGATCAGACTTTGTAAATTCTTAAATCTGACACAACTCTTAATCTGACCAAATCAAGAAGAAAATGTATGGGTTTGAATTCAGCCTGATTCTTATAATCATTTCAAAATTTATATCCAAGGAATTTCTGAACATACATTCAACACTGCGATAAAAGTAAGTCATTAACAAAATTTTAAAATTTGGGTTATGAAATATCAGAGAAGCACATTAAAAGTTACTTTGGCATTCTTCTGTCCTATGTTTAAAGGGACAGTAAACAGAGAATTCTTTTGTAATTCACATAACCACTCTCTTGGGAATTATTTCAGTAGGAAATATTTCATCTTAAGGCAAGGAAACATTTGAAAATATCTTCTACAAAGTAAGTTAATTAAAAATTAATAAAAGCATAATAAAAGGATAAACCATAGCAGAAAAGTACTACTTTGTAAGAATGACAATAACGTTGTTTAAGCTTTCTACAACTGTACATAATACTTGGCTTCTTTTTAAAAAGATAATTCCATTTTGACACTTAACATTGTTAACCTTCAAGAAGAAATAATTACTCTTTTAGCTAAACATACACAGAAAACAAAAATAGAAAAAAGAAGGGAAAAAGCCATTTCTCAGAAGTCATTCAAGACCCTGCTGTAATTTCCTTACAGAAGCAGGTGGTGAGGCTCCTGAAGGCAGCAGCAATTCTGATCACACCACCACGAGTGAGTGTCCAGCAGGGCTTCACTCTGAAAGGCTTTAGACTAGTTTAATCAAACAAAAATGCTTTTACTGTTTAACCCAATGTTAAGGCAAATGGAAACTGGTACGAATGTCTTAAATACCCTACTACAATCAGAAGCGTTATTTCTAGGAAGATAATTCCTTTAAAAAGGTCAAGTCTCTTACCCTACAATAGAGATTTTCCGCTATACTTACTACCCTGAAATTCTATTTGGTCACTCTTATTTCTTTTTATCAAAGGCCACAAGAAAGTATTTTTTTGAATTCATAGCTAATGAACTGACTAGCAAGTAATCTAAGTATTGATTTTGACACACCAATGTACTGAATATGGGCATTTAAAAAAATGAATGTCAGCAATAAAATCACCTTCCCAAACCATTCATTTCATCAGAAGTTCCCTAGAGTTACTTCCTGTCCTAGCAGCATTATAAATAGTGCAATTCTTCAAAATTCTTTCAAACATTTTTCTCAAATTAAAGGTGAACTTATTCTTTTATAAAATCATAGCTTGAGTCATCATTTAGCCTTCAAATGGGCCAAATGATACAAGCAGTTTCCCTACATGGAAATGTGTGCATGCACACCTGTGTGTGTACACAGCATTCACTGCCAGTGTATGTAAATAAGGCAAAACATTTAATATTTGAAATGAGAAGCAAAATACTATGTAATGGCAGCTTTATTTTGGGTTATTTCTAAGCATTCTCTTCCATTAAGAGCAAGAATTGGGTGGCAGGCATTTGGCTTGTGGTTTAGCTGTCAATTGGCATAATTACATCCTGTACTGGGCTACCTGGGTCTGGGTTTTGGCTCTGTTTCCAATTCTGGTTTCCTGCTAATGCACACCCTGGGATGTAGCAGGTGACAGCTCCTACAGTCAGCTCCCCACCACCAACACGCAACCGACACTGAGTTCCTAACTCCTGGCCTCTCCCTGGCTCACTTTCCATGTTTCTGGTATTTGAAGAGTGAGCTAGTGGATGGGAGTTCTGTTTGTCTACTTGTACCTGTCTGTCTGTTTCTCTCTCTCTCTGCTTCTCAAAAAACCCTGGAATTATGAATAGACCATATTTTTTCTTTTGTCCCATATCAGAGCATGATAATCACCAACCATACAGTCTGTCCACCCACTATTAAATTAGGAAGCTATGGAAGAAAAGTCATGAAGTTACATAACTAAAAGCAAGGTCAGCAATACTTTGTATGCTGAACATAAGAAGCAGAAGAGAAGAATATGAATTTTACATGTAGTAATTAATGTATATAATTATGGCACATATATAAAATCTCTTTAAAATCTTTTTAAAATTACACTTCTTTGCACTTTGATTTTCTGTTCACTAATCAGAAACTAGGCACTTTAATCTGAAATTGTATTTTTTTAAAAATACATTTTAGGTTCTTCTCTATAACCTCCTCCTAACATGAATACAGCCCACTTTAGAAGCAAAAGGAACAAATGTTTTTGGCATGACGAGTCAGCCACTTCAAACAGCAGTGTATGATTCAACACCAAACGCACCCAACTGCTGAAGGCCTCCCCTACCCCGAGACCCTCCCTCACAACAACCCCCTTCACATACTGCGGATAGAGGACATGGACTATACTGTGACCTCATTAAAAGGACTTGGCTCTGTATCAAGGGAGTGAAAAAAGCTCTAGATTCCCACGAAGATTCAAAGTATGATTATTTTTCGAGATATGAGCGTAACAGGACAAATTCTGTACAGAGTTCTCAGTGGGAAGAACTAAAACCCAGCTTTACAAAAAGAGAAAGAAGAGATTATTTTAGTGTATCAAGTAGAATGACTCCAGATTTTGGGAGACAATTTCAAAACTACACTGAAAGAGGAGACATTTTTCCGCCTAACAGTGAGGCCCTAGGTTGAGGCACCCGTATCCCATATTGGAGTGCATGAGTTTGAGCCTCAGTTCTGCTCCTAACTTCTTGCTGTTGCATACTTTAGGAGGGAACGGGCACCGGCTCAAGTAGTTACGGCCTTGCCTCCCACGTGCAGAACTTGGATTGAGTTTCCAGCTCCTGGCCTCAGCCTGGCTCAGCCCTAACTAGTGTGGGCATTTGGGGAGTGAACCAGAAGATGGAAGTTTAAAAAGCCTATGCTTTTTAAAAAGATAAATTTTAAATTCCCTCTCTTCACAAATAGCTTTTTAAATCAATATATTCCCAAGAGGAAAATGCTCTAAGTTATAAGATTTCTTCGTGGGTGGGCATTCAGCCTCATGGTTAGATGCCTGTGTCCCACACACACTGTCCAGGTTTGAGTCTCAGCTTCAGTCCCAGATGATGGCTTCCTGCTAACGCAGACTGTGAGGCAACTGTGATGGCTCAAGTGATAAAGTTCCTAACACACATGGGGGAACTGGACTGGGTTCCCACACCACAGCTTCAGCTTCATCTGTCTCCACCACTTCAGGCATCTGGAGAGGGGCCCCGTGGACGTGAGCTCCCTCTACATTTCTGTCTCTGCCACTCAAATAAATGACTATTTTTTAAAAAGAGGAAACTTCTTCAGTCTCTGGTGTTAACTTAAAGAACCAATAGTAACACATTTGGAACCGAAGTTAATCTACTACAAAGTTGTTTTTGCATACTGCTTACTCTCCACTCATTTAATAGATTGTACCAGTAGTCAGGGATTACGATTTCTTTGATTTAAAGACTCCTGCAAATACACAAGAAATAACATAAGCAGTACACAGTAAAACACTACTACTTCTTAACCTTGATTAAACAGATAAATAACTTCACGGTTAAAAACACATTTTCAGGCAAAGTTAATATGTTGACACTAGGAGTAATATATTCTTGCATACCTCAATCTTAAAGATCTTGGCTAAGTGTATACACTTTCAAGGTGCAAAACACAGAGACAGAATTTTTGAGAATGCTACAGGACGTTTCAGAGAGCTTCACGATAACAAGGTGACTCCCAAGTATTAGCTTCAATTTAAGCAGTATTCCTACAAAATACACAACATTTCATGACTGAAATGACCATCTAAAGAGTACAAAAAAACAGCTGTGAACACACGATACAGGTGTTCAATGACAGAGCTTCATATAAGCCTAGTATTCTTCACTAGAATATTTTTCCTCCCTGAGTCCACATCTACCAAGTATTTAAGCTCCTTTAAAATATTTTATAGCACACTCAAATGGTATGATTGTTATGGTACTTATTGTACTTTAGCTTCCAAGAGCCCACTAGACAAAACATGACCATGACCACTTATACAACCACTTGTGTGCCTCAGGGCATCTGCTCCCAGGTAGGCCAGTAACAGTTCAGTGCGGCGAATGAGTAACTGCAGGAGGTCTTCAGCCAACGTCTCTATGCTCGAATAGCGTACCTTCTCAAAGTCAAAAATGTCTTTGAGAAAGAAAAGAACTTGATTCTGGAAAATAAACACAAAAGAGTTACGACATTAAAATTATATGCAATCTCTGGCCTGATGTGGTAGCCTAACAGCTAAATCTTTGCCTTGCATCCACTGGGATCCCATATTGGCACCAGTTTATGTCTCAGCTGCTCACTACCCATCCAGCTCCCTGCCTGTGGTCTGGGAAAGCAATAGAGAATGGCCCAAAACCTGGGACCCTGCACTCATATGGGAGACCTGGAAAAGTTCTTGGCTCCTGGCTTTGGATCGGCTCAGCTCAGCTGTTGCAGCCACCTGGGGACTGAACCAATGGACAAAGATCTTTCTCTGTGTATCTCCTTCTCTCTGTACATCTGCCTTTCCAATTAAAAAATTAACTCTTTAAAAGTATTATATGAAATGTGAACAGTTACTAATATTTTCATGAGCACTGACCCAGGAGGCCAGCTCTGACTTCATATTTTACTGGAAAAGAACCTTGAACAAATGATTAAACATCTTTTGGGTCTACCTTTCTCCTCTGTAAAATAAGAGATAACACCATCCATCCCTTTTAGTACTCAAGGCTGATGTAGTGATCAAAGCAAGGTGATCTGCAAGAAATGCCTGGGACCCCTAAAGCACTGTGCAGATGTGAAGGCTGCTTGTCAGCTCTTTGCCTTTAGAACTTTTTCTGAGCATGGGCACTACTTTAAGATAGGAAAAACTATTTCAGGTAATTCTAAGTTACAGTCTCTGCATGCAAGATTTTCTGAAGAAAACAAACAAAAAGAAAACAGCAAACACCAATTCACATGTGGAAAATAAAAACGATTTCAGATCTCAAATCCATTTAAAATATTAAAGTATATGTCATTTTGGCAAGTTAACACCTAAGTGGAAATTGATTTTAAGCAGCTGTATACAACTAACTACTAAATTCCAGCTATTATGTCAAGTATGTAACTTCCATCTCCCATAAGCAGATACTAAGAAGTGCTAAGAAGACACACTTTATACTCACTGGATTTTGTATTTGGGAGAGCTATTCACAATCAGCAAATCTCTTCATTTTATAGATGAAGAAATAACGAAATAATGATTTCCCCCAAGTCAGCTCATTATGCAACACTTAACTGCTAGTTCCATATTTTTTCCACTAAAGCACATACCTTAGTTGGGAGGGTCAAATGACCTAGTCCAAATTAATGAGCTCTTAAAACAAGACAGTAAAACAAACATTTCCCAAACCATTTATACAAACATTAGCAGTACATAAATGTAATTATTTTTAAAATGATTTTAGTGAAACATCTGAAGTTTCAAATTCATTCTTGATGTTTATTTACTCTTTGAAACTTAACCCAAATCAGAGTATTAAATAGACCTTCTTGGCATTTTGTCAGCCAAAAAAATTCTGCCATCAGCTGCAACTTAGTAACTTGGCAGAAACCCCTTATTGCTGTTTACGACTTCAAGCAGATGTGTTGTATCTTCTAACCTGAATTTCATTTACACTGAATTAAATTATTTTGAAACTGGATTTCAATTACATTATTTTGAAACAGAACTCACATATTACCACATGTGTGATAAAGTCAGACGCTGTTGATTTATAAACTTCAAAAAGTGCCAAGGCATAAGAAAAAAATTGTATCAATTTGATTGTAAAACAGCAAGACCATGTAAAACCATAACAAAAGGAACCGATAAGGTGAATGGATTTGTTGAATCCATTCCAGAATAAAGAGCCAAGTGTATAAAATACCGGTTCACTCTAACAGTGATACTATAAAATGCCACTAACATAATACTAGCTTTTTAAAAATTATTATTAATTACATTGTACTATGTGACACAGTTTCATAGGTACTGGAATTCCCCCACCCCTCCCCAAGCCCTCCCCCCATGGTGGATTCCTCCATCTTGCTGCATGGCCACCGTTCAAGTTCAGTTGAGATTCTTTCATTGCAAGCACATACCAAGCATAGAGACCAGTAACTTATTGTCCAGGTAAGTTCAATGTCTTCTTCGGGAGACCTTCTCTGATCTGAAGGTAGAGCCAGCAGAGTACCATCCCAATCAATCAAAAGCCCCAACATAATATCAGCAACAAATTATAACGTTATGGAATTAGTGGACATAGTGGACATACTAGCTTTTAAACTGAATTTAAGTATCTTTATGAACTTTAAATAACCTTACCCACTTTTTGATTTAGGAAAATAAAAAAGAAAGAATTCAATGAAAAGCATACCTTAAAGAAGCAGCATAAATCATACAGAGAATTTCTAGGGCCCAAAAAGCCCCACGCTAGCACAGGGCTGATGTGCTCACAAATGGCATAAAAATGCGCAAAAAATCCATCCGGGATCTGTTGGAAGTTAAAAACAAGCAATTTAGCATTACCTTTTTATATTTGCTTTCTCTAGCAGAAAAGCTAAAACTATTATCCTCTACGTAACAGCTATCTTTGAGGGCAGATCATGAACTAAGCTATTGGTAAAGTGAAGAAAAAAAATTGTTTTAGACTCATACAATGTTTTGGGTAGACCTCACCAACAGTTCCAATGTGCAGAGAAACAGCATTTCTTCTTCTTTTTATTTTAAGATTTATTTTATTTTTATTGGAAAGGCGGATATACAGAGAGGAGAGACAGAGAGGAAGATCTTCCGTTTGATGATTCACTCCCCAAGTGAGCGCAACGGCCGATACTATGCTGATCCGAAGCCAGGAGCCTCTTCTGGGTCTCCCACGCGGGTGCAGGATCCCAAAGCTTTGGGCCGTCCTCGACTGCTTTCCCGGGCCACAGGCAGGGAGCTGGATGGGAAGTGGAGCAGCCGGGATAAGAGCCGGTGCCCATATGGGATCCTGGGCGTGCTAGGCGAGGACCTTAACCACTTGCGCCACTGTGCCGGGCCCACCATTTCTTCTTTAAGTGTTAGAGCTAATACATAAATATGTATATACATATACATACACATATCTTTTTTAATTTGGAAGGCAGAGTTACAGAGAGAGGAAGACACAAGTCTTCAATCTGCTGGTTCACTCCCCAAATGGCCACAAAGGCAAGAGCTGGGCCAGAAGGAAGCCAAGAGGCCAGAGCTGCCTCTGGGTTTCCCAGGTGGGTACAGGGTCCCAAGGACCTGGGTCATCTTCCATTGCTTCCCCAGGCACATCAGTAGGGAGCTGGAATGGAAGTGGAGCAGCTGGGGTCTTGAGTCAACACCCTTATGAGATGCTGCTGTTGCAGGTGGAGGCTTACCAATTATACCACAGCACTAGCCTCATGTTCTTTCTTTTCTTTTAAATTATTTTTATGTTCCATGATACATTTTTCCATCCCCTTTCTCCCTTTCATTTCTACCCCGACAAACCATTTCCTCCATATTATTACAGTAGTACAGTTTTTTTTAGCAACAGTTACAATTTTGGCATTCTGTTATTTAAATACATCATGCAATTTTAAGTATAGACAATGATAGAAATCTTACTATCTTATTATCAAGCTATATTTAACTGTTTCAGTGGAAGTCCTCCTTTTATCTGGAAGTAGAGATGCCTACTGTAACATATCTTAAGCTCTTGATATACTATTTTCATTGTAATGGTCATCTAAAAGAATATATGTACTTGTTCACCTATATATCTAATTGCTTTGTATTTTGCATGAGTATTGCCTTATATCAAGACAGAATATATGATATTTGTCCTTTTGGGACTGGCTTATTTCACTGAGCATAATGGTCTGCAGCTGGGACCATTTCGCTGCAAATGGTTGGAATTTAATTCTTTTTAATGGCTGTGTAGTATTCCACAGATAAATGTACCACAGCTTCTTTACCCATTCCTTTTTAAATTGACATCTGGGTTGTTTCTATGTGGTTGCTATTGTGAATTATGGTGCTATAAATCAGGATTTCATGTTGCTTTCTCAGATGCAAATTTCAATTAATTTGGATATATTAACAGGAATGGGATAACTGAATCACACTGTAGATCAATTTTCAGTTCTCTGAACACTCTCCATACAGACCTCCATAACAACTGTATTAGCCCACACTCCACCCACGTTATTCCTTGACAGGCATTTTTACCTCATAAAAATATAGGTTGAGTATCCCTCATCTGAAATGCTTGGGATCTGAAATGTTTCAGATTAAATTTTCTTAGACTTTACAATGTCTACATATATATAATAAGATATCTTGGGATGGGACCTAAGTATAAATATGGAATTTTAGCAGCCTGAATGTAACTTCATATTATACTTTGAATGCACCTGTTTTGACTGTGACCCAGTATGCATGGTCTGGGGTGAAATTGTGCATTAGTGATATCATATGGTGCTCAATTTCAGATTTTGTAGCATTTTGACTTTGGGATTTTCAGATTAAATACTAATACATATTCTTCATAAAAGAAATCATATCACTGTTATAACCAAGCAATAACAAGAATGTTAGTGTTCTTTGGTTATATAATTTTATGAATACACCACAATTGGGACCAGCATGGTGGTGCAGTAAGATCAAGGCTTAAAGTGAATTTCAAATGAGTAAATACTAAGTTATTTTTAATGGAATCATAACATTTAGTTAAAGAACTTGATATTACTCGTATATATGCAATTTCTTATAAAATTAGTAATATGATTATACATTAGTAGGTTCTATGAGTTTATTAATAACTTCCAGAATCTTCCTTGTTAAATAGCATCCCGTGGGATCTGTCATACAGAGAGGACTGACACAGGCACACCTTAAGGATCTGTTCCTTGCAAGGGTTATTTTCTGTTTCACAGTCTCCAAGACAATTTTCCAAACCTCAACTTAAAAATCATAAGATAGCAGAAGTTGCCATTTAATGAGCACCCAATATATTCTAGCCAATGTTTTCAGTTCCATATAATTTACTAAAAAATGTCTGCAAAGTAGGTCATGTCAACATCATTTTTACAAAGCAGAACTTGAGTGGCTAAATAACCTGTCCTACTCACATTTAGCTAGTTAGTGAAGACCAGAAAACTATCAGGCATGTATGTAAGTTATTCTAGTATGAGAGATGTGCTTATTCAGACCTGTTGAACTATCAAAACTGCTTCAGCAGGACCCTCCAACCTTGCCTCACATCGGGGACAGGGGGATGGGCGGGAGGCTGGGTGGGGCTTTTCCCTTTGTTTCTCCCCTGGCCCCAGATACAAGGAAAAATAATACTAGTGTGGGAACAATGGTGTAACCCACTTTCCTGTAGCCATTGATCCTTTGTACTCTAATCAACTAAGATTATTTTTAAAAATAATAAATAAATACATAAATAAGAGATGTACTTGATTCAGCAGCTAAAATTGGAGATGTCCTATATATGTTAAAATTCTACATTTTATACTACTTCATAGGTATTTCAGGAGCTTATAGACCTGAACACTTTTGTGGGCTGAAGTAAATGTGGCACACTTCAGCAAGGAAAGCATGAGCTAAACTCTATAGTGAGTAGAAACTACATGCATGGGGCCCAGCGGCGTGGCATAGCGGCTAAAGTCCTCGCCTTGAACGCCCAGGATCCCATATGGGTGCCGGTTCTAATCCCGGAGGCTTCACTTCCCATCCAGCTCCCTGCTTGTGGCCTGGGAAAGCAGTCGATGATGGCCCAAAGCCTTGGGACCCTGCACCCACGTGAGAGACCTGGAAAAAGTTCCTGGATCCTGGCTTCGGACCAGCATAGCATCGGCCATTGCACTCACTTGAGGAGTGAATCATTGGATGGAAGATCTTCCTCTCTGTCTCTCCTCCTCTCTGTATATCTGACTTTCCAATAAAATAAATAAATCTTTAAAAAAAAAAAAGAAATTACATGTATGGAGAGGGCTTTGTTATCCCAGGTACAGAAAAGTTTCCCAAAAGGTGACATATAGAATTATCTATACATGGGGAATCAAGGTTAGATTGAAGCATAATATTTATTCTAAGAAGAAATGGATATTATCATTCTTGTCACTATGGTAACTTTCATTAGTATTTTTTTTGTGTTTAGTTTTAATTTCATGTTTAAATTAAGCTTGTTAATAGTTTCTCATTTCATTTATGTAACATCTTGTGAGTATACAAATGAGAAAATGAAAGGTCAGCTGATAGCCACTTATTTGCCATGCTCATGCCATCTAGTGTAACAGTCAAATCCAAATCCTTGATCTCTCTACATAAACATATATTTAAACATATATTTCAAATATGTATTTGAAAGGCAGAGTAGTCTCTCTCTCTCTGTCACATACACACACACACACACACACACACACACACACACAGTGGGAGAGAAATAGAGATCTTTCATTTGCTGGTTCATTCCCCAAATGCTTAAAACAGCCAGGGCTGAGGCAGGCTGAATCCAGGATCCAAAATCTCCACGTGGGTCTTCCACACGGTGGCAGCAACCCAAGTACTTCAGCTATTACCTGCTGCCTGCCAGGTGCATTAGCAAGAAGTTGGATTCTAAGTAGAGCAGCTAGAACTTGAACCAGCACTCTGACATGGGGTGCCAGTCTCAAGTGGTTTTCACACACGGAGTTTATAATCATCATTATAACACAAAGCTTTTCGAGTAATTATAAAAAAGTATTCACACAGTCTCAGGAATTATTTTTAACAGCACCGTTCAATGATGCTATGAAGACTGTGTTTTGAAAACAGTGGGACTGGCAATGCTGCCTCCAAGTTATACATACAGCATTGAGAAATATGGATATTACAAAACAATCCTTGGAAAAATAATAGAGTGACAGCCAATATTACATAAGGCATTATGCCAAGTAGGTCTAAGCACTTTATACTGAATCTTTTAAAAACCCTATAAAGTAGATGCTACTACTCTGCTTGCATTCAGAGATAAGGAAACTGGGGCACAGAGAGATTAAACCATGTGCTAAAGGGACACATGGCAAGGAAATTGTATTCGAAAATCAGACACTCTCATTCCATAATCAACACCCTCTCCCACTAATAGAGTATAGTGAGAGTAATGGGGTGGTGAGATGGCATCAAAGGTATGGATCAAGGCAGCAGGATACAACATTTGACACTTTGCTGCTGGGGGCCCTAAACTGAAACAATCAGGCATTAGAATCAAATAATTATTTCTTAACTGGATTACATGAAAAGTCAACAGTGATATTAAGCAATTTTTTTAAAATATTAGTAAGTAAATTAAAAACACATCTGCAGAAGATGCTTTCACCTCTAGCCCTTCTACTTACCTGAAATGCCATGCATGCCTCAACAATCATATTCAACTACACAGAAAAGTAATGAACAGAGAAGACATCCACACAAGAAGGGAACCCAGTATCAGAAACTCATTCATCTAACTTAAGAGACAGTCCCCACATCAACCGCCAAATGGACTGACTCAGGTACGCCACTGACAGGATCTTCAAATTGTTCAGCAAAGGAGTTGCTATGGTTTGAATACAGGATGCTCCCACCCAAAGCTCAGTGAAGGTTTGGTCTCCAGTATGGCAGTGTTGAGAGGTGGGCCTAAGTGGGAGGAGTGTGCATAATGAAGACAAACGCCTTGCTCCTCCAGTCCTGCTCTCCTGGGGTTAGAACAGTCACTGTCAGGGCATGTTGATACACAGCAAGGATGCCCTGGTGTTCTGGCTCATTTATGAGGGCCCAGTGATCATTCTACTTTCAGCGATAAAATGAAGGGGAGAGGTCCTCAACAGAAGTGGCTACCTGATCTTGGACTTCTAGCCTATTATACTGAGCTTTAACTTTAACATTTAAATAATAATAAATATAAATGATGAATTTTACCTTCATTTGTTGCCTTTTTTGCTTCAGCACTGACCAACAACTTGAAGTCACAGCCTAAACAGAAGTAGCAGAAAAAAAGAAAGATTGAAATTTATAGCTATATTCACATTTCCATTACCAATGCATGCTTTTTACTAGAAATTCAACGTTTACGGTATCTAAGGGCCAGCACAATGGCTCAACTGGTTAATCCTCCCCCTGCAAGTGCTGGGACTCCATATGGGCACTGGTTTGTGTCCCAGTTGCTCCACTTCCCATCAAGCTCCCTGTTTGTGATCTGGGAAAGCAGTAGAAGATGGCCTAAAGCCTGGGACTCTGCACCCATGTGGGAGACCTGGAAGAAGCTCCTGGCTCCTGGCTCTGGCTGTAGTGGCCATTTGGGAAATAAATATGGAAGATCTTTTTCTCTGTCTCTCCTTCTCTCTGTAAATCTACCTTTCCAATAAAAATAAATTGCAAAGAAATGAACAACATGTGACTTTTATGGTTAAAATACACTTTAATCAAGGGGAAATGATTTAAAATGATTTAAAATTTATTAATAGTAAGTTACAAAAGAATTTAAAAATTGCCAATAGGAATATTTTTTAAAGGCATTCAAATTTCATCATCAAACATAATATCCACTCCACTTAACTTGTAGGTTCAAACTTAAAAAACAAAACCCAAGTCAAAAAATATCTGCATGCAAAAACAGAAGTAAGTTAAGAATATGGTTAAACCTGTTTTATTTGTTCATATGCCTATTTTCTATGTTAATTTTTACTAGTATTTAAGAATGTAAATTTCTATAGTTTTTCTCTTTTAATGCATCTTTCATTGTCTTCATTGACTTGAAAGGTGGAGAGATGAGACAGAGTGAAGACAGACAGATCTCTTTCAGTCACTGTTTTACTCCTTAAAAGTCTGCAACCCCTAAGACTGGTCCAAACAAAAGGCAGGAGCCAGGGATTCTGAAGTCCCAAGGGTGTCAGGGACCCACGCACCTAGGCCATCACCTGCTGCCTCCCAGGGTAGGTTAGCAGGAAGCTGGATCAGCAGCAGAATGTCAGGACTCAAACTGTCACTCCAATATTATGAGAAGCAGGTATCTGTATCATAACATTCACCCTGACTCTGAAAAATACTGCCTCGGAAGTCTGAGTGCCCGTTTTGAGCTCCGACTCTTTAGCTTGGATAGTTTCCTCTCAATGTACACGGTAGGAAGCAGCAGAACGTGGCTTAAGTACTCCCACACAGGAGACCAGACTGAGTTTGGGCCTCCTGGCTTTAGTTTGTCCCAGGCCTGGATGTTGTGGGCATTTGAAAAGTAAAACAGCAGTTGGCAAACCTTATCTAACCTGTGCTCTGTACTCTCTACCTTTCAAATAAAATGAAGATAAATGTTTGTAAAAACTTATATATGCTGTCATTTTTAAATTTTTACTGGAACTGTTACATTTCAGGTTAGTTACTCAGCCATTTTGGTTACACACAACTTTTTATAAGGCCTGAGCTGCTGCTTTAGAGACCTGAATAAACGCTGGGCATTGCAGGTCACAGCTGAGTCTGATTATAGAAGGGTCAAAGGGGAACTTTCCTGGAAGTGCTATGCAGTACACAGACCTGCCCCCAAATCAGCGTCAACTGTTTCCATACTCCTCCATAATTAGTAAAAATGTATCTGAAGGCCAACAGACACAGAGACGGACAAACAGAGACAGCTCCCAACCACTGATTTACTCTTTATGTACCATAATAGCTGGGACTGAGCTAGGCTAACCTAGGCTGAAACCAGGAGTTAGGAATTCAACTCAGGCCTCCCTTATGAGGCTCTCAAGTGGCAGAGCCGTAACCATGTGAGCCGTCACCTGCTGCCTCTCAAGGCGGGCTCTAGAGGAAACTGGAGCCCACAGCAAAGCACCCCCAACACGAGGTAACAGGTATCGCCAGGAGTGCTGTAACTGCTGGGCCAAACACCTGTCCAATAAATGTAAATCTTATTAGATTTTTTTTTTAACTCTATCCATTTTTCATCAAATTTAAATGGCTGCAAAAAGTAAATCATTACTTACTGTTTCCTTGAAGGAAGAGTTTAGCCAGCGATTATTCACTACATTCTGTATGGATGTGGGTGGGTTTTCTAAATCCTCAAAGGAATCCATTAATATGAAATCCAGAACAACATCATAAAAATTTAGATTTTTCACCTGCATTAAATTGACAGAAATTAATATTAGAAATAGCTTAAATAAATGTGATTTCTGGTAGGATTTTTTGAGTTGAATCAGACTGCATCTCTTATAAAAAAAGAGATAAATATGAAAACCGCTAGAAATTATAATTCACATGGCAGCTGCTTATTCACACCAAGCAAAATTAACCTCTCCCACGTCTCCAAACTGGGAATCTTTTGTTCAAGCTTCTATTCCAGCACCTACAATGTTCAGTAGGCTTTGTTATTCAGTCACTGGTAGATCTACCTATCTTTCCCAGCAGAACATCAGCTTCTTGCTCTTTCCTGCGTGCACACTGTGCTGAACCACACGCTGTACCAGCTGCCCACACTTACACCGTAAGCAAAGGGAAACAGCAGCACGATAATCCCACACAACATCCAAGTTGAAAGCGTGCTATCGATAATAAAGAGAAAAGGACAGGGTGCTTTGACAGCCCAAGATGAAGACTCTGATCTTTTAAAAGATGTCAGAGAAGGCTTCCTTCAGGAAACGAGGCATCTTAGGTACAGGAAATAACTGTCAGAAACTTTAAGGCCCTCCCTCCATGCCTCCTTCCCTCCCTTCCTTTCTCCCTTTCTCCCTCCCTCCCTCCCTCCCTTCCTTCCTTCAACAGGTAATCCTCCCCTCCCTTCTTTCCTTCCTTCTTCCTTTGACAGGATATCCTCCCCTCCCTCCATGCCTCCCTCTTTTCCTTCCTTCTTTTCTTCTGCATGAAATTCTCCACCCTGTGAGAGGAACCCATTAAATGAGATAAGGAGAGAGTCCCGAACTCAGGATAGACAAAGACTATATGCCCCTAATCAGCACGAAGAGTTACAGAAAATGTGGTGAATCTGCATTCTTCAGTAACCCTTAAGATAAGGGTCAGAAATCTCTGAAAGGGAATGAAATAAGTAGCTAGCTAGCTTAAGGTCATGACTTGGAGGCCACATGCCCGCCCATACCCTATGTAATCCAATTCACCTGCAGCCCAAAGGATGCACTTCCTTCATCTTTGACCTGGATTGTTATCAATCCCCTTTCCAGGCTCTCTTCCCAAGGACAGAGGACAGCAGGTTTATACCATCTGTAGAAACTGGAGTTAAACCAGAATATGTTGGCCAAACATGGTTATTCTGTAGATTCGGAACCTGTCTGACAAGTGTGCACCAAAGACTAGCCAACAGGTTGCAGCAGCTCAGCTCTGCAAGATGACTTGTACTGGCTCTCTGCTCATAGCCTGGAAAAAGCAGCAGAAGATAGCCCAAGCACCTGGGCCCTCGCCAAGAACATGGGAGACCCAGATGAAGCTCCTGGCTCCTGACTTCAGCGTGGCACATCGCTTGACATTGTGGCCATCTGTGGCATGGACTTAGAGATAGGTCTCTCTCTTCCTTTCTCTCTGTAACTCAGACTTTCAAACAAACACATCCTTTAAAAAAAAAAGCAACAAAAGAAAACAAACAAACAAACAAACAAAAAACCGGTAAGCTTAAAAGAACAGAAGGAACATAACAATGCTGAATTGATAGAAATCACCGGAAGTGCACAGTAGCTCTCTACAGCAGAGACTGCAGGGGTGCATGGCTGGGAAAAGAAGGAAGGGCCAACTCCTCAACAGATTTATGACCTGTGTGAAGAATTTCAATAGTCTTCTTGAACTATTTTCAGATGGAGTCAAGGGTGGGTGATCATGGCAGTGAAATGGAGAATCAGATTCCTATCATTAAGAACCTTTTTGGCAGCCATGTAGAAAGTGGAACAACATGTAGAGAAGGGAAAAAGTGAAAGCAAAGAGGGAAGGAATAGGCAGGGAATCCAAGCACTGAGGCAGACCAGGAGAAAAGCAATAGATACTAAGGCCAGCATGGAGATGGCAGCAGTAGGAAAAAGAGCTGAAGTAGCAGAAAGAGCCTAAATAGTTGAAACTGAAAAAATTTTAGATGAATATGATAAAGCATGTGGAGATCAGGAGGGGAGAAGGAAGAATGCAAGCTTTTGGTTCATCAGACCTTGGGAGCTCATCTTGGATCTGGATGTAGAGATGCACACTGCACTGCATCCTCACATTTGGATATGATAGTCTATTACACAGTGACTATACATCCCCTTAAATGAAAAGTCACAAAACAAAATTAACAAGAGGAAGAAAAACAGAAATTTACAACATCATGAAGTCAAATAACATGCTACTGGATATGATAGTCTCCATTACATAATTACTGTACAACTCCTAAAATCAAAAGCCACAAAACAGAATCAACAACAGGAAAAAAAGAAGAAATTAACAACACCATGAAGTTAAATAACATGTTACCGAATGACTAACATGTCAGTGAAGAAATCAAAAAGAAAATCAAGAACCTTCTTGAAGAAAATGATGCTAATGTATGACCTGAGTCATTGAAGGACATAACCAGGAGAAACTGTTTTGAAGAGATGAAACTAACAAAAAAATTCATGAGATAGTTTCCTCTGATCTTTGTTGGTGAGATATGTCTTCTGTAAGGCAATAAATAGATGGGCTTTGTTTTTTAATCCAGTCTACTATTCTATGAAGTTTGCTTGATGAGTTTAAGCCATTCACATTCAGGGTTAATATGAATGGGTGGTTATTTGGTGCTGTAATTTAGCAAGGGTTGTTCATTGATTTAGTCTTCTGTTGTTATTTACTGGGATGTTCTTCACATTTGCCTTTGGTTTTGGTAAGTGCTATTTCTCTCTGTCAAGAGAACATCTTTACTAAATGTCATTTGTAGAAAAGGTTGGGAAGACTTTTCTTTACTGTGGAAAAATTTTATTTCATTTTCAAGGACAAAGGAAAGCTTTGCTGGGTACCATATCCTGGGCTGACAATTTTTTGCTTTTATAATCTGAAATATGTCACTCCATTCTGTTCTGGCCTGTAGAGTTTCCTGTGAGATGTCACCTGTGAATTTAATTGCCATTCCTTTATATGTCAATTGATTTTCATTCACGTGAACACATTTTTAAAGATTTATTTATTTTATTGGAAAGTTACATACACAGAGAGGAGGAGAGACAGAGAGGAAGATCTTCCATCCAATGATTCATTCCCCAAGTGACCACAACTGCAAGAACTGCACTGATCTGAAGCCAGGAGCCAGGAGCCTCTTCCAGGTCTCTGACACGGGTGCAGGGTCTCACGGCTTTGGGCCATCTGTGAATGCTTTCCCAGGCCAAAAGCAGGGAGCTTGATGGAAAGTGGAGCTGCTGGGATTAGAACCAGTACCCATATGGAATCCTAATTTGTTCAAGGTGAGGACTTAAGCACTGGCCATCACGCTGGGCCCTCACGTACACATGTAAGGATATTTTCCTTATGTTCGATTGAAGAGAGCTTGATTATCACATGTCGTGGTGAAGATCACTTTAGGTCGACCCTGTTGGGAGTTCTGTGCCCCTCCTGGATGTTGTTTCCCAAGTCTTTCTCTAGATTAGGGAAATTTTCCCTTATTATTTCATTGAATACACCTTTAATCCCAGCTTCTCTTTCTGCACCTTCTGGGACTCCCATAACTCTTATACTTGGCCTTTTCATAGGGTCTTTCAGTTCTTGAAAGCTTCTTTTAGCTTGACCCAGCTTTTTTGTTTTATCCTGGTGACAGGAAGTATCTTCTCATTTTGAGATTCTTCCTTCTGTCTCCTCATTTTCTTTTGGAGACTCTCCACTGTACTTTTAATTTGATTCACTGTATTCATTTCTAATATATCAGCTTTCCTTTGATTCATTTCCTGTGTGACATGTTCCTTAAATTGCTTGAATGCCTGTATTACATGCTTCTCATTGTTGATAAGAAGCTTTATAACAAGTGTTTGAATTCTGTAACACCCATTTTCTTGATGTATTCCTCAGTGAACTCTGAGGTTGACAAAGAGTTTTGCCCCTTTGCAGGGGAGCCTTTAGTAATATTCATCGTGCCTTCATCTCTTCTTTTGCTCTTGGTCTTTGTACTTCTGGTGATCAGATTCTTCTCCTTATGGCAGGTTTCTAAGCTATGTCACCCAAAGGTCTACAGTTCGATTTTACTTATTGTGGTTGGCACATAGCTCTTCATTTGCAGTCAGTTGTGCCACTCCCTCAAGCAAGTTGCAGGCCTGAGTTCTTATGTTAGACTTTCACCAAGGTCTCTTAGCCCCAGCTCCTGGCTCACCGATTCCCACCTTCTGTGATTCCCATATTAAAGCTGCACCGTTGTCTGTGCAACCTTTCTCCCACTTGCTGTTAGAGCAATTCACAGGGTTCGGGCAACAGCACATGTCCTATATAACTAGATTATTGCTGGCGCTGATCTTGCCAGAACCTGTTGGCTATTAGGTCTGACATGGACCTATTTTGACCAATGCCAAAATCGGTATTATTTTCCCTGTGGGACCAGTGCAATGCACTGAACTCAGTGAGTTCCCTCCCAGCTCTGCACACGTGCAGCTCACTGTTGTCCCTGCACTCTTACAAAATGGCACCTGATGTGCCATTATTAAAGTTCTTGATCTGCTGGCCATCAGGTCTAGGGATTACTCAGACCTGTCTTGGGTGGAACATGTAGGATGCCATGCTGTTGCAGTTCACTGAGCCAGAAATGAGTTCACTCCTAGCCCAGTGCATGTGCAGTACTGTCCATAGCCTTTTCCTCCCTATACAAAGTTGCGTCCGATTCAGCTGTAGAAGCAGACTGGAGCTGAAATCCACCCTATTCCTGCATGGCCCATGTGGAACCTGCTGCTCTGTGTCTGCTCCTGGTCAAATCAAACAGACCAGTAGGATGGGCAGTTCTTTGTCTGAGTTCACCTCCTGAGCTCCTGGTGAATGCCCCTTCCCACCTTGTTGCTGGTGGAGTTTCAGTTGCCAGAAGAGTTCAGACTGCTCATTGCTGAATGCTACTGAGATATTGGTCACTGCAGAACCATACTATTGTATCCACAGCTTCCTTCATCCGTCAGTCTCCACATCCTCTGCTGTTTTTTTGTCGTCTCCTGTTTCAGGGACTGTGCCCTCTCTGCTTCACACTGCCTCGTGTTTCTCCATCTGTTTAAACATGTACTTACCATATTCCACCATCTTGATTCCCCAGCCAGTGACAGTTCTAATTTGAAATCTTAATTTTATATTATCCTTCTCTATTTTATAGTGTAAATCAGGCTCTTAGTTTTCTGAGTATATTTATTTGTTAAATGCATTGTATGTAACCAACTCTCCAAGCCGCAAAGGGGTATCCTGTTATCCTATCTGATACCATACTTGCATAGGCCAACCTTACCACTCTGCTAGAACCTGCTAGTTGACATCAGCATGGAAAGGAGGAAGAAAGGAGTGAACAAAACAAAGGAAGAAGGTTTTAAAAAGAACAGCTGTCAACAACTGTTGTCCCAATGTATGATGGGTACAATTGCTGTTGTTTACAACACTGCTGGAAGAAAGATGTTGCTCCACCATCATACATTTGCTTTTGCAGTCACTTGGCAAGAACAAGGAGTTACAACTGTCAACACCATGAGTAAATAACTAAGAGAAATAAACACTCTGAAAAATTTGAACTTACCCCTCTAGCAGCAAGTTCCATTTCAGTACTATCCCAGTGATCAGTCTGTTCCAAAAAATAGATCATTTCATCAAAAACATCTTCAAACTTCTTTGGATTCTGCAGGAGAAAACATGTTTTAATTCTGACCTCAACTTTACAACAAGGCTCAAGCTTACCAAGTAAATAAGTTATTCTTCAAAGAAGTTTGTTACATTATAATTTGATTAGATTAATTAATTTATTAAATTAGGATACATTTGCAAGCTATGGCACATTTATTTGATTTGCTATTTGGTTCTAAGACTAAGAATGATCATCAAAGGTTATAGTAAACTGTTTAACTGTTCACATATGTATGCCTCTTTAGGTCACTCCTTAAGAACGGAAGTCTAATTATAGAGTACACAATGTTATGCTCTTGGTGCAGTTCTGCTCCCTTTGGAAGGACTCTCGTTCAAATCCCTGGGTTCATCTGCCCAAGAAAGCCACATCAAATTTACATGGGACTTGTAAATAATGAATGCCACCTTATATTTACCTACTACTTTATCTTTAAAGTTGCTTTTCCATTCACCACTTATTTAATCAACACAGAAACATAATTCTATTGATGACATGAGGGAATTAGGGTAAATAGGGCATTGCTTCTGGCTTATTCAGTGCCATGACCACAAATAAGTAATAGGCAGCTCAATTATATTCCAGATTTTTGTGACCAATGTTATTTCCTATAATCCTCCTTGAGAACAAGATTTAGGGAGGTAAAAGATGGCATTTTATTGGTAATAATACTGGGGAATTTACAGTAGATGATTCTCACCATGACATTGAAAAACTTTATGGCAAATTGGCAATAACTGATGACAAATAACTTCGCCAAAATTGGTGTAAACTTTATGCAGAGAAAATTAATCACCTCAAGAAGAAATCAATGTTCGTTTAGTTATTTATCCTTAATAGGTGAACTTTTACAATTACCTAGAACAACTTTTGCTTATATTAAAAACTTAACACATTTAGTCATTGCAACCAAAAACACAATTAAAAACTTTCCAACACAATAAGTTTACCTTTCGTGCTTTTATAATTAAAGCAGATAAAATTTTCCTTCCACTTTCAGCAAGGAATATCCTGTTGGCTGTTTCTGAAAGAATTACCTGAGAAAACACCCATCCCCAAACAAAGGAAACAGAGACATATAATGAATTAAATGGACAGCCATCTAACATCACAGCTCATCAAGGTATTAAAAGTACTACTATAGTCAAAGGATTACACGTGATGCTATGTCAAAAGGCAGACCACAGAAAAAGTCCAAACTTACTTAAAAAGCTCTTGAAACAAACAAAAAATGATCAAGGGGAAATAAACAGTAATTTAAAATTCTGTTCAGTATCAGAATATCTAAATTAAATTTTATATATCCCCCAAAATATTTGAACACAAAAATATTTTTATCATTGAATGACTCTAATAAATCAGTAATTCATAATTCACTTAGGTTTAGAAAATAAGCTAAAATACACACTAATTGATAACAGAAAAGACCAATTTTTTTCAGGTGGCCATTTCCATATACCTCAACACCAAAATATCTTAATGGGGGCGGGGGCAGACACTATGACCTAATGGGGTAAGCCACTGCCTGCAATGCTGGCATCTCATCAAAGTCCTAGTTTGAATCCCAGATGCTTCACTTATAATCCATCTCTCTGCTAGTGTGCCTGGGAAAGACAGGCCAAGTGCTTGGGTCCTTTCTACCCATCTGGGAGACCAGGATGCAGTTTCTGGTTCCTGGCTTCAGCTTAGCCCAACTCCAGACTACTGCAGTAATTTGGAGAGCAAACCAGCAGATAGAAGGTTTTTTTTTCTATCTGTTACTCTTTCAAATAAATATATAGATACTTAAAAATAAATCCTACTTTGACAAAGTATGGTGGACATGGGAATCCATGGGAGGGAACAATGACAAATAGAAAAGAGATGAAGGGAAGTAGAAGAGAAGAGAAATAAGCCCAGTAGGCTTGGCAACTGCCATTAGGGACAGGGATGATATGGAGCCGTACTGTTCATATGCACGGGACTCTGACATGAGGGTGAGGCGGTGAGGCTGGGGGGAAGTCTCTTAATGTTAGACAAAATACCTGAAAAGCCTGTCGAATACAGTGAAGTTTGGCAAGAAAATCACTGTCTCCCAGGCACTCCAACATTTCAGTTCTATGTAATAAAAAGGGGAGACAATTGTTAAACTACATTCAAGATCAAGCCTACTACAAATCTGGACTCAAACAAGGCTTAGCCTCAGGGCCTTAACACAAAACACATGTCTTCAACACTGACGGAACATGTAAAAAACAATGTTTTCAACTTGGACCTAGAGAGCATTATTCCCAGTTCTCATCAACATGTTTAGTATCACCAACACAATTGTATCTTCATTTTTTTCCACAAACATAAGCAGAAATGAAATGGTACCTTAGCACTCGTGAGTAAATTTTTCCTTCTTCCACTAAATGCATGGCTTCTTCATAAAAAGGGCAGTGGCAGAGAGACTCGAGGGTGCAGGTCGGCCGCCCTTCTCTGTGCTCTGCAAGCTACAGACAGTGGGTTAGAGCGGACTGTGCTGATACACACAGAAGATACACAAGAGAAGAAAATAGAATAGCACTGATGTCAACATACGGCAAACTTGATTATCCCCCACAAAATGACTCAACGACATTCTTACTGCCAATAAGACCTGAATTGTTTTGCTTAAAAAGGCAATTGTCAAACTCTGCAACAAGCTAAGATCATTTTATTTCTTAAATTTTTGCTGGAATAACAGAGATGGGAGAAAGGAGAAAGAGGGAGATGAGACAGAGACAGAAAAGGCAAGCAAGCTCCCAGTCACTGGTTCTCAAGGGAAATGCCTGTAATAGCTGCAACTAGGCAAGGTCACAGTCAGGAGCCAAGAACCACAGTCCACGTCATCCACGTGGGTGACAATCACATGGAAGACTCGGACTGTGGTCACCGCAGCCATCATTGCTGCCTCAAAAGGTCTTCAGTCAGAGAGAGCTGGAGTCAGGATCCAGAACCAAAAACCAAACCCTGGTGCCAATAAGGGTCTTAATCACTAAGTTAAATGGCTGTTCCTTCATTTGAAAAATATAACTGCTTACATTCTGCCATGAACAGAAAAGCAGAGCCTAATAGTTTTTGAATAGCAGTAACTGCGACGGCCCAGCATTGAGGCATAGTGCGGCACGCAGCTGCTGCCTGCAGTGCTGGCATCCTACACGGGTGCCAATTCCCATCTGAGCTGATTCACTTCCCATCCAGCTCCTTGTTAATGTGCCTGGGAAAGCAGTTTGGGCTTCTGCAACCACACAGGAGACAGGCATGACATTTCTGGCACCTGCATTTAGCCTGGCCCAGCCCTGAACACTGATGCCGTTTGGGGAGTGACCAGAGGATAGCAGTTCTCTCAGTGTCATCTCTCTCTCTCTCTCTGCAACTCTACCTTGCAAAAACAAAGAAATAAATAACCTTAAAAAAAACTGAGGAAACATTCTAAAAATATATAAGTCGGGAAGATGTACTATCCAAACAGTACTAAAAACATTTAAACTCATAACTGTAAATGAACAAAATATTCTTCAAAAACATCAAAATCATCTCAATAAGGTTACTTTAAGAAATGTAGCTTACATGTAGCTTTGGTGTTAAGTTCTTGTGTAACTGAAAAGTAGCCACTTGCTCCTGGCTAGGACAATTCTATAAATAAATTTGTGTATGCTGAGAGTCCACAAGAAACAACAGTTGCAAACACCATAAGCAACTAAGCAAAATACCTTTTGCCATTAGGTCCTTTATGGAATGGAACCCTGCACTTTTGTTTTCTTTTAAATAAGGTTTTTTTTTGAGATATAATGAATGTTCCATAAAATTCACCCTTCCAAAGTGTACAATTCAGCCATCTTCAGTACAAGCACAGAGTTATGCAATCAGCATTTTATAAAAAAAGATTTGTATTTATTTAGTTGAAAGGAAGAGTTAAGTTACAGAGGCAGAAGAAAAGATAGATAGCTCTTTCATCTGCTAGCTTATTCCACAAACGGCTACAACTGGAATTCTCTCTGGGTGGCAGGACCCCAAGCACTTGGGCCATATTCCACTGCAGGGGGCTGGATGAGAAGTGAGGTAGTGGGTCATGAACTGGTGCTCCTATGGGATACTGGCATCAGAGGAGACAGCTTCATCAGCTGTGCCACAATGACAGCCTCCAGCATTACCTTTTACCTATGGAACTTTAAAATACATACATGCTTGAAAGAATTAAAAAGAGAGAGAGACAGAGATTGTCCATGCACTGGTTCACTTCCCCAATGGCTACAGTGGCTAGAACTGGGCTGGTCCAAAGCCAGGAATCAGGAATTTTTAAGGGTTTTCCATGTGTGTGCAGGGGCCCAACAACTTGAGCCATCCTCCATTGCTTTCACAGTCCATAAGCAAGGAGCTGGATCAGAAGTGGGCAGCCAGAGCTGTTGCCCAAATGGGATACCAGCACTGCAATCTGCTATTCCACCATGCTGGTTGGTGTAGTGGGTAAATCTGGGACACCAGTATCCCATATGGGTGTTGGTTCATGTTCTCACCGTTCCACTTCCAACTCAACTACCCGGTAATTGACAGGGAAAAGCAATAGAAAAAGATGCCAAGTGTTTGAACTACTGCCACCCACGGTGGAGACCTGGAAGAAGCTCCCGGCTCCCAGATTCAGCTGTTGTGGCCATGTGGGAAGCGAACCAGTAGATGGAAGATCTTATCTACCCCAACCCTACCCCCACTTACCCTCTTTGTGTAACTATTAAACAAAAATAAATCTTTCCAAAAAAAGTTCTTAAAAGTAGAATTAAAAGACAACTTTATTTTAAAAAGAAATATCTATGTACTTTAAAAGATTCTTTTCAAATCTTATTATTGGGGTCACTGCTGTGGCAGAGTAAAGCCTTTTCCTGTGATGCTGACATCCATATGCGCATCAGTTTAAACCCTGGCTGCTCCACTTCCAATCCAGCTTCCTGCTAAACATCTGGGGAAAAAAGTGGAAGATGGCCCAAATACCTGGGGTCCTGCACTCACATGGGGTACCTACAAGTAGTTCTGGGTTTGAACTAGCCCAGCTTCAGGTACTGTGCCCATTTGGGAAGTGAACCAGTAGATGAAAGGTCTCTGCTTCCCTTTCTCTTTCTTAACTCTTTCCAGTAAATAAACAAATCCTTTAAAAATATTAAGACTTTGTTTTTTTAAAAAAAGATGTATTAACTATTTAAGAGAGCAAAAAGAGAAGGGAAGAGACTGTTTCATCCATGGGTTTGCTCCCCAATTTGCCCCCAAGCCCCAGTCTGGGCGAGACTGAAGGCAGGAGCTGGGAACTCCATCCTGATCTGCCACACCGGAGGCAAGAGCCCAAGCACTTGGCCTGTCCTCCGCTGCTTTGCTGGTTCAATTGCTGGAAGCAGAGCAGCAGTGACAAAGACACTCTGAAGTAGCATACCAGTGTTTCAGGCAGAAGCTTAACCTGCTTGGTGACATCAAGGGTTCCTATATTATTATTACTTTATATTTACTTATCTTTATGGCAGAATGACAGAGAGGGAAAGACAGAGAAACAGAGAAAGAGCTAGGGGAGAGAAAGAGAGAGAGAAATTCTACTTGCTGGTTCACTCCTGAAATTCCCATAATAACTCGAGCCAGACCAGACCAAAGCCAGGAGCTTGGAAAGCCTGGAACGTCATCAGGAGCTCCCATGTGGGTGTCAGGACCTAAAGCACTCTGACCATCATCCACTGCCTCCCACGAGCATCAGCAGGGAGCTGGAGTGGAAGCAGAGCAGCCAGGATTTACACAGGTAATAATACAAATATCAGCATTACAAACAGTGGTTTAACTCACTGCACTGTTGTGTCAGCCTCAAGAGTTCTGTGCATATTCTAAATACAAACCCTTTGGGATACATAGAAATTGTAACTTTTTTCTCCCATTCTGCTGTCTTTTTACTTTACTTTGGTGTTCACTGAAGAACTTCTATTTCAAAAATATATTTATGTATTTTTGAAGCAGAGGGAGGGAGGAGAGAGTGCGAGAAAAAGAAGGAGAACAAGAGAGAGGATGTGAGTAGTTCCATCTTCTGGTTTACTCCCCAAATACCTCCAACAAGCTGAAGGTTCCACATGTTCCACCTGGTGGCAAGAACCCAAAGACTTGAGCCATCAAGGTAGCGTCCCAGGGCTTGCATTAACAGGAATTTAGAACCTGAAGCAGAGCTGGGACTTGAATTCAGGTACTCTAACAGGATATGACATTAATTTCTAAGTCAAAATACTGCTCAGCTTTTATTTTTCATAAACTCTAATTAGTCTATTATATGCTAAGCTCTTGCCTGGGCATTGGCATATCCTGGTTTCTAGCAATAAGTTGAGGTTTTTCCAAGTCCCCTTTGGAGATCTCATTGCCAAGTTTTTCCTTCAAAGTTTTTAGGAACAATTGTTACTTTAAGAATTCATTTTCATCTTATTTGAAAGTCAGACAGCAGCAAGAAAGTCGCAGAGAAACAAAGATCTTCCACCTGTTGGTTCATTCCCTAATTGCCAGCTATGGTCAGCGCCAGGACCAGCTGAAAGTAAGGATGCTTCAGCTACATCAGGTCTCTCATGTGGGGAGCAGGGACTCGAGCACTTGAGCTGTCAGCTGTTGCCTCCCAGGGCATGCATTAGCAGCTGGATCAAAGAGGGAGTGGCCCAGACTCAAACTGGCACTCAGATACAGGATGTGGGCAACTTGGGCACTGACTTAACACTGTGCTAAAGCCCACTTCTGCTCAGCCGTTTTTTTGCCTCTGGCCAGGATGGTCCCCTTAGGCAGTTGTATTTGTAAACCACTGTCCCAATCCGGCTTTTTTTTTTAAAGATTTATTTTATTTTCTTATTGGAAAATTAGAATATACAAGAGGAAGAAAGAGAAAAAGATCTTCTGTCCGATGATTTACTCCCCTAAGTGACTGCAACGGCCAGAGCTGTACTGATCCGAAGCCAGGAGCCAGGAGCCAGGAGCTCTTTCGGGGATTCCACGCAGGTACTGGGTCCCAAGGCTTTGGGCTGTCCTCTACTGCTTTCCCAGGCCACAAGCAGGAAGCTGGATGGGAAGTGGGGTGGCCAGAATACGAAATAGTGCCCATATGGGATCCCGGTGCATGCAAGGCAAGGACTTTAGCCGTTAGGCTACTGCACTGGGCCCCCCAATCTGTTTTCAAAACAGATCCAAAAATAGGATTTTGCACAGAGTGAGCTCTGAGTTAGGTCATGGAAAGACAAGCCCCGAGACGAGAGCTTTACAGGAAATTGTCAAATAGGAAACATTCTCTAAGGATGGGACTTTCTCACAAAACTCCAAAGCCACCACGTTCCTTCCAGCCGCTGCCAGGAGTTCCAGTGGTTGAAGGACTTGGTTTTCCTGACTCACATGGAGAGGCAGATAGGAACAGAGCAAGCTAAACATGCACAAATGCTCTCAAGAAGACTTAGCCATTTTTCTTAAACAAACATTCCTT